GCCGAGCACTGCTGACCTCCGGCCCGCGCAAGAAGCGCCTCTCGTCACTCCGCGGGCCCGCCGCGGGGAGACCTTGGTCCTCGCTTTCGAAGCTGACCAACGACGCTGCTTCCGCTGCTCGCGCCGCACTCTCCAGCTCGAACGGATTCCGCCGCCGCCAGATCCCCTCGCGTTGGCGCAACGGTAGAATCACTCAGTAACTGAGAATACGCCAAGGTAGGCCATGAACGATGACGCGTTGGCTGAAAACAACTGGACCTTCCCTCGAATCCTTGCGGAGTGCAACTGTTGAGTCTCCACTGCATTTATCGGAGGTTTTCTGGGATGAAGCGAAGGCATGGAAAACGCTCCTTGCTCGCGGACGCCCCTCGGCTGCGAGAGCTCTCGCGCAGCAGGCCAAAGCTCTGAGCTCGGGCTTCTAGCCTTGGCTGCGGTGCATCTCCAGGTCACACAGTGACGTTTGACTATACACGTTGTGAGAACCTACGTCGAGCCACGGCCGCGAGTCAACCCGCGTATCGCACGGGTGTGCCGGTGACTGGTCAAACGATGTATAGCGACATCTGATTCCTTACTTAGAAAATCTTGCATTGTTAGAGGAAAATTCACCAGTGTATTCTACTCGTCATGCGGAGAAGTGGAAGATGGTCACCCAGCGAACGAACTATGGCTCTCAGATGCTCCAATTTACTCTTCCAAATTTGTTAAATACTTTTTGCAGTAGTAATGTTTCTCTTGAAAACTTGACTTTCAAAGACTTGCGTGAATATTTTTGTACATAATGCATTCCTTTCATAAAGCGTTATATGTTTTGTTTTTCTGTTAACAATACATGCAGCTGCTAGTTGACGTGATTTTCATCTTTGTTTCCTGATGCTTGCCGCTGACCACTGTAAGGGGACCGAGGACCAGTCAAGCTGCATATCGCAGCTTTTTTCCTCGGGCTCCCCCATCAAAATTGATGGAAATAAAGATATTATTATTATTATTATTATTACGCCAGTAAAGCCCCTTGATGTGTTTGTCTTTCTCTTACAAGTGTATAGCATCAAATGCGCCAATGCAGAAAGCCCGTGCCTCGTGCGGCCTTAGGAACCAGATAGCGACACAGCACTGAAATGAGCGGCTCTTGGAAGCGTATAAGGGCGGACCACTCGCTCGTGAGACGTGTCTCGCGTGTTCGGACAACAATGGTTTTCGGTACTTGTCAAGAGCGCGAAGCGCGAGGCGCTAACAACCATCCTCCAGCCCCCCGACCCCCCCCCCCCCCCCCCCTCCTTTTTTTATTTTTTTATTTTATGAGGTGAGTTATGACGTTGGTTATGGCATAAGCCTGCTCGAGACGCGGCCGCCGAAAGGGAAAAGGTAGAGCGGCAGACAATGATGATGATGATGGTGATGATACTGCGGCTGCTCCCTTTATAACGGGCGGGCTCGAATAATCGTGCCCAAGCCTGGGGGTGAATTCAGCGCCCCCTGTGTTGTGTATGATGCCACCAATCCTCCAGCCGTCTTTTCGTCTGCTCGATGGTCTTCCAAAAGGCTTCATTCAGTAGTATTGGCTGTCTCGCTTGTTGACGAGAAGCCCAACGCTGCCGCTAGAGGCGGGACACCTTCGTGTAGTCGGTTCGCCTCGATGGAATGTCCGCTTGCGTTTCTCGCGTTCTCCGGGCTACCGTTTCTTTTCTCGTGGGGTTTGAAAACCATGTTTCGGGTCCTCGCCGCTACCAAAGCTGTGCGCTGACGTCCAGGTTCCCCGCGAAATGCTCAGTACTACCAGATCCTCAGGCTCCAAATCTGCGACCGGGCACTCTATGGCTCCGTCATCGAACTGCCAGGCTTTGTGAGTATAGAGGAGGCTATGGCATAATAAATTGTTGGAGGGCGCATTAAAATGTGCTTATAAAACAAAACGTCACGCAGCATACGCTACTGCTGACGTTTTCTTTTGGCGATTGCCTCGGACGTGACCAAATCAGGCGAAAGGCATATACAGGGTGATTCAAGGAGACGCCAGGCTCTTTAAATCGACCGCAAAATTCGGTTTCTTAACCTATCGCGCTACGACTTTGTGCAGTGTTGCCCACAGATGGTGCATTTTTTTTGTGTGTGTGTGTGAAATTTGCAAAGAGCGAACTTATCTGAGGAAAAACTAAAGAAAGAAAAAGGCTTAGCTCCTATGGAAGCGCAGCGAAGCCACCGGTCTTCAAACAATACGGCGCCGTTTCGCACGGGAGACAAGAGATGGCGCAAGCGGTCGCGACGCCAACTGCCGCCAACGAACGTGCAGACGACGCCGAGAGCCGGCGTCTTTAGCAGACAAGGAACTGCAGTTCCTTGTTGTTACCGCGCCTGTTTTTGTTTCTGCGACTGTCGCCGCCTGCGGAACGCGCGCCGCTTTTGAGTCGAAAAAATTGTCTGCTAAAGACGCCACGTCTCGGCGCCGTATGCTCGTTCGTTGGTGGCGTTCGTTGCGCCATCTCTTGTCTCCCGTGCGAAACGGCGCCGTGTTGTTTGAAGACCGGTGGCGTCGTTGCGTTTCCATAGGAGCTAAGCCTTTTTCTTTCTTTACTTCTTCCTCAGGTTAGTTCGCTCTTTGCAAATTTTACAAAAAGAAATGCACCATTAGTGGGCAACGCTGCACAAAGTCGTAGCGCGATAGGTTAAGAAACCGAATTTTGCGGTCGATTTAAAGAGCCTGGCGTCTCCTTGAATCACCCTGTATACTGTACGAGGAGTGGCCCTAAGAACCACCAAATTCGGCACGCCTTCCAACATTCAATTTTCAACGTATACATACCTGAAATTGGGCTAGCGAACATCGCTTTGCAATAAGTTTTATGACCGTTTCGCTTGTGAGCTAAAGTAACAAAAAATGAAATCTTAAAAATTTTGCAAAAACGGGGTCATGCATTGGTTTGCGAGCTGCTGAACGCGTAGGGGTGTGCGAATGGATACCCTACTCCGTTTCACTTTATGTTGTACCGCAGAAAAGGCTAGAAGCGCGAGCTCATAGCGTTGGGAGCTGCTCTTAGCGCACGAGAGCTTGTGCCGCCGAGATGTGCCCTAGAGCAAGGAGCTCGCGCTTGTAGCCTTTCCTGCGGTACAACACAAGGTGAAACAGAGTATAGTAAAAAGCAATTCACTGAAAGTATACTTATTGTGTACTTAGTGCACGTGCTGACAAGTAAATATACTATAGATAGCATAGTGATAGAATAATAGAAGCATACTATATTATACTTCGTCTCACTTTAGTATGGATTATTGTTAGCCGCACATGCTAAAACTGCAAGCTAGTCGCTTTGGATGAAGCCTCGGCAGCTGCACAAGCGCTCGTGCAGCGACTGCTTCAGTCAAGAGAGTTGAGGCTAGCCCACAGTGGCTAGCCCTCGCGCTTGCATAGCCTTCGCAGTTAGTCCATGCTGATCTTACCGATGACGTCATGGCTTTTGTGAGGTCACGTGACGAGACGTCATTTTTGCGCACAACAGGCACAACATGGCGGCAACGGGGGGGTGCCACTTTCGAACTTCCGGTTTATCACTCTAAGCCCCCCTACCTCGTTAATCACGATATAAACCCCTTTAGAAAGTCACGTGCCGATTATTAAAAGGTCGGAACCAGCGTACAATGGCGGAGCAACTGACATCGTGAAACGTGCAAGCCATTCCGTAAGATAATGAACGACGGAGCTCGGCCACCGCTAGGAGCCGACGAGCCAATTAAATAGCGTCGAAAGTGCAACGTCACTGCGCTCATTTCCTTATTCTGTGGGTGTGTTTGGACTTTTAGTCAACGTTATTAGAATAGCTGAGTTACGGAACTGCTCATAGACGCTGCATGCAGCAGCAGTACCCCCCTCACCGACCACGACTGGCCTCCCGGCGTTCGTCGCGCCGGACGGCTGCTAAGGTAACTGCACTGTATTCTATGTAATACGTACATTTCGAAGCATGGCGTTTATATGGCGTTCCACCGTACTCTATGAAACACACAGTTATGAAAGGAAAATCTAGATGGCGCTTCAAATGACGGGAGGCGGGTTGTGGAACTGCGCCTCCCGCGGGAGTTCCACAACTGAGGTAATCTAGTAGCGTTGCTTCTAGCCCAACAAAACGCATAAAAGGTGCCGTGACATTGCGGTTTCAGTCCGCCATTGTGCAGGGATTTCACAGCTGCCAACAGAGGGCAGACTTTCGAAAGTCGACAACCTCTTTTATGGCGTATCAGCGATGATGATGATGATGATGATGCGGCTTTTCCCTTTGTAGCGGGCGAGCTCCAAAGTTGCGCCCTAGCCTAAAAGAAAAAAAAAACCGCAAGATGATTATCTTCCACTGTTTAGAAGCTGTTGCCACCAGTGTTCCAGTATTTGGTTCTAGTCTCATTTTCGTTGACTGCACACACTGCACGTTTTGCCTTTAGCAGCCCAACTGGGGGCGAGCTCTCAAACCAGTGTGCAGACGACGACGTTGCTCCATTTTTAAGTCTTTTAAACGACGTTCGCGTGCCCAATTTCTGGTACGTACGTTTGAAATTCGAATTTTGCAAGGCCCGCCAAATGTGCTGGTCCTTTGGGGCCACTCCCTGGAGCTCTCAAGCTTTGGGCAGTGGTCCTATTTTTGGTTTGTTTCGCTCCCCGGTGAGAGCGAGAGCTTCCTCGGCTGCTGACTGAACGTGGCATTTCGATTGTGCGTCATTACGCAGCCCTTACGCTAAAAAAAAAAAAAAAAAAGCATTGAAAGAACACTAAAAACGCGAGCTGCATTTTCTTTTCTTTTCTTTTGTTTTTTTTCTTTAAGACGCTATGTTAGCGCGCGTACACGGACAGACGCTGCCATGCTTGTAAATGACCGTGTCTCGTGCATGATCGAACGCACCTTTTTATACCAGCGTCTGGCGTTCCATGGCTCGCGCCCTTTCGGCGCGAGAAAGAGACGCGTGATGTGTGTTCGCGTTCCTTTTGGCTCCCAGATCCACGTGCCGACAAGCGACAAGAGACGATGGGGGACACGTCCGATCGCCAAGGGCCGCGTCGAGAAGGTAAGTGAATAAGTGTGCCGCCGATCAAAGTCAAGAGCGACGCCGGCCAATCACGGCCACCTAATTCCTCGCCGTCTTTTTCGCCTAGTGTTCAGATTAGAGCGCCAGGGGCTCTAATCTTAGACATTTGGCGAACGCGTCGGTGAGGAATTCGACCTGTTCACTGCATGTCGAGCCGTTGTTTCCGGTAAGCCCTCTGCGGCAGCGCTGGTGAACGTTTTCCGCCGTGTTCCCCATACATGATCCGCACTGATGTCACCCCAGCGTACTACATTACGATTTTATACCACTAAAATTGTTGGTCTCGGCAAGAACACGTGGGAACGAAACAAAGAAGTAGGAAAGAATTTCTCGGCTAGAACAAATAAGAAAAAATGCGGAGCGCAAGTTCGTCTGCGTCTTTTGAAGGAGTTGTGGTGACGTTAGAACAACGCCAAACTCCGATTGGCTCTGATTGAAGGATAGTGGGTAGACCTCAAAGCAGGCTGCCTTGAGGTATCCCCATATGTTTTAATCAGAGCCAATCAGAGCTCAGCGTCATTCTGACGTCACCGCAACTCCTCCGCAAGAAGCAGACGACTTGCTCTCTTGATAAGTTGGGACGCCGCGACGACAGCAACACTCGCGTTCGCTCGCGCTTTTCGCCAGCATTTCTAGGACAAATCGCCAGGATCGCGACATGACATCTGACAGCATGACACTCCTGCTTCTATGACGTCATTTGTTACAACTTCGGGGCCACGTTTGATATAGATCCGTTGCTCTCGGGCAGGAGGCGCGAGCGCGTCCGCAGGACGCGACCATGTTATGCTGGCAGCACCATTTAGGCGGCGCTGTAACGTTCGATTTTGCACGTGCCACGTTCGAATGCAAGATCTGTCAGCATCTGTAGACGCGCGATAACAAAACGTCTAAAAAAACTAAAATAAAAAAAAAAACAGCATGCAACTCGTGGCCTCAGCGTCCCATTAAATATTCCTTCAAGCTTATTGCTCTCTTTCATAGCTTCCGTGAGCCCGTATGTTTCACTTCACTTGATAGCGAAGCCGAAGCTATACTTGCTAAAGCATGTCCCCTGAACGATGCTCGCACTGCACGAGCGCGCGTGCTTGGCAGGGCCACTAAGAGCTCGGAGCTCGCTCTAGTAGCCTCTGCTACGCTGGCACTTAGAATGGAACGGAGTATAAAAAACTGTAGTGGGGAAGCGTATTGACGCACGTTCGAAACGCGAGCCAAATATTCTATTTTGCTCGCCTGGAGCGCTGCTCAAAACTTGAGAGCTACGGGCCTATATGGATAGGATGCTAAACACAGCAGTCAGACACGCGCTCCAGGCATCATAGACAGAACTCAACAAGCACGATCGGGGCCATGTTTGGGTTATATAGGCCCGTAGCTCTCTAGTTTTGAGCAGCGCTCCAGGCGAGCAAAATAGAATATTTGGCTCGCGTTTCGAACATTCGACAATACGCTTCCCCACTACAGTCGTTTATACTCCGTTCCTTTATAAGTGCCAGCGTGGCAGAGGCTACAAGAGCGAGCTCCGAGCTTCCAGTGTTCCTGCCAAGTACGCGCGCTCGTGCAGTGCGAGCATCGTTCAGGGGAACATGCTTTAGCAAGTATAGCTTCGGCTTCGCTATCAAGTAAAGTGAAACATACGGGCTCACGGAAGCTATGAAAGAGAGCAATAAAATGATAAAGCTGGAAGGAATGTTTAATGGGACGCAGAGGCCGCGAGCCGTCATTCTTTTTTTTTATTATTTTAGTTTTTTTAGACGTTTTGTTATCGCGCGTCTACAGATGCTGACAGATGCTTGCATTCAAACGTGGCACGTGCAAAATCGAACGTTACAGCGCCGCCTGGATGGTGCTGCCAGCATAACATGGTCGTGTCTTGCGGACGCGCGCGCGCCCCCTGCCCGGGAGCAACGGGTCTAGTCGACTCCGGCAGCATGTGCTGGAACCTTTGGGGCTCATCACTTCTCCAGAGCCGGCTCGTCTTTGAATAAAGACCGATGCTCTTTCGTGTCGCCGTCTATTACGGTAGACGATCACTACGCGAGAGAACTAGAGCGAGCTGCTGGCAAGCATGCCTTCCTGCATGGAAACACACAGGGCGTATTCACTGGCGGCCATAGCTGTGTGCGCGACTACTGAGTGCGTGCTGATGGCGAGCTTCCGTAGTTCTTTATCGCATTCCACACCATCAAGATTGCCGGTTTTAGCAGCTTATTATTGTGAGCTCGCTGTGAGCATGCGCAACGCCCTCAAGCATGGCGTCCAGTGAATATTGGCAACATGCGCGATCGAAAGCGTCGCTGTGATCGGCCTTCCATTGGCCGAATGCTGACTATGACGTCAGCAAAAGAATTCTGTTTGACGGAAATAAGAGGAATGGAAGAACTTCAGTTTTGGCGGCGTTGGCAACGTTGGTTTCACAGCGCAATGATTTCAAGCTTCCACCATGCTAGTTACAAACACCATTGAACTTGTTGTTCGCGAGCTAATGACGTCATGAGAGGGAACCATAGGAGGGCGCCACGAAAACATCTCGCCGCTGATAGGGCGAAGCGTCCCAGCATGTATTCCGGCTCGTGAACTCTCAGCCATGCTGAGACGCTTCGCCCCATACGCGTTCGAATGCGAGAGCCAAACGCCAGAGGCCTGCGTTCCGCGTTTTAACGCGTTCGACGAGTGCAGTGGAAACGAAGGCCTTTAGGTCTTTGTCTCCATTCATTTCAACCAGAGCTCAGCGTTCTGACGACCCCTCCACTCCCTCATTTTCTCGGCGCATAGCGTACTCTATGCGCCGAGAAACAGTTGACAAGTTCTTACTGCATGGGACGGCCTATGCAGTAAGAACTTGTCAACTGTCAAAAACGTTCGGGGGCAAAATAAAAAATGGGGCTCCAATCCACGCTGTGAAGCTGGGTTGGCCAGCGAAGCTGTGGTATCATCACCTGCAACGATTTCCCACTGCACTATACCAAATGCTGCCGCTGTTCGCAGCACGCCGTCGCTGGTCGTATATTGCCGTTTCTTTTCCCTTTGCCGCTCCTCGTATTCACGCTGCTCCTCGGGAGTCCTAACTATGCGTGGCCTACCCATAGCGATGCTGCAACAACAATAGGGAGTTGTGGTAGATCGTTTTTCTCCTCCGCTACGGTATCCCCGAAGAAAACGCCGCAGCTGCGCATGCGCAACGCCAGTCTTGTCTGCATAGTTCAAGGTCTTGTGGCGGATTACGGAGCGCTATCCGGGTGCGTAGCGGGCTGCGGAAACGGTCTACTACAAATCCCTAATCGAATCAGTTCTCGGTTTTACCTTACATCCGAGCGCAGCGGATGCTACGGGCCATCGGAACCAATCCAAGGACGTGTCAGTGTCACGTGACTTTGGAAAACGGGCACAGCCTAGGATAGTTTGTAGCGTCCACTGCGTCAGGACGTGAGGTGAAACGGAGTGTAGGTGGCTTCTTCTTTTATATATGAAAGGCTAGGGACGGTCGCAAGCTGCCCTTGTCGAGGCAGCTTGCCGCATCTGTAATCTTTACCACGAAACGTATCCGGTGACGGCTACGTGCTTCGCATTGTTTCCAGGATGTGCCTTATCATCAATTATCGGGCTCGGATGCTTGTGTTGTGCTTATTCTTTATTGAAACGAATGGTGTGCTGTATGCGTCATGTCTGCACTTTTCGATTCACTCACTGAGGTTTTCTTTTTTTTTCTTTTTTCGCCAGGACGCCGGCACGAAAAAATCCGACCAACGAGTCATATACAGCTTCGCTGTAAAATTTCGGCAGTGACACTTAAAAAAAAACTGAAAAGAAAAAAAAGTTTAAAACAGTCTTCTTGGGACACGCGTCTAAAGAAATAAGTTTTACGCGAAAAAAAAATTTTAGAGAAATAAGTTTTACGCAAAAAGGTTCGCAAATAGCTTCAAGAAAAGAGAGGCTGCGCTTTGAAGCGGCGCATGCAGGAAGGTCGAGACTTGACGTCCGCTCCGTTCCTCATAAAACGCCATTCTGTATATGACCATTGGATCGAGAGATCAAAATACAGCTGCCAGTTGTTTTATGTGCTGGTCCCTATTTGGAGCTACGACCAGTCGGTACTCAAGAGGTCGGCTAGTCGTCGGTCAGCATGGCCCCGGCAGATGCCACCGGGGCCACGCTGAAGGGAGAAAAAACGCTTGGCTTCAAGCGATCCCAATCGAATTTCTTGAGCTCTGTTGTAGTGGGAGGCATCTCCCTGCTTCTGCGTTTTACCAACATCAAACACGACGCTAATGAAGAATCGCTTACGTGCCAGACGAATAGGGAAAATGGCAGAAAACACAGCATTGACACATACCTGTCGCAGCGCATGCTCAGAGGGATAGCTCTAATTCATAACCTGTTAAGAAAACGGTCCTCAATGGGGAATGTACGTGGAACAAAGGGGGGGGGGGGGGGGGGGGGGGGCTGCATAATCGTGCATTCCTTTCAATCATATTTTTTTCTAATAACGTCATGTTTTTTTGGGTTTTTTTTCCTTTTTTTTTTTCGTAAGGCCGTATGGTACGCTCTGCAGATGACAGAATGACAGGTTGCACCATCCATGGGTCGCATCAACTCTTGCCTACTTCGGTTTTGTTTTGTTTTTTTTGTTTCCCTGTCCAAGTTGTCCCGATGCGTCCGCCGGGGACACTTTGAGCGCCATCAATCCGACGGCTCAAGAGCCGACTCATCTTAGCTCAGAATGACGGCCTGTATTTGTGAAAATCGAGTATGACGATGCTCCTTTATTATGTCATCGACTACTCAGGCAGACAGAGCCGATCACAACTCAAAAGGATGAGCTGGGGAAAACTGTTTCTACTCGTAACAAAACGTAAGACGATACAATTCGAAAGGCGTTATGACATGGAAGACGACATAGACGAAACAGTCGTCCTGTGGCGCCTTTCATGTGTCCTGCCGTCTGTCATGGTATGGTCTTTTGAATAGACCTTTTTTTC